GTGCGGGGGCCCTCCCCCACTGTCGCCACCTCCGGCAGCAGGGGGGGTGCTTCCCCCCAGAAAACCAGGGAGACGCAGAGTGGCTTTTCTCGCCGCGGAGGATGCGGGCGGTCCTGCCGCCCGCGTCCTCCGCAGCAAGAAAAGCCATTCTGCGTCCCCCTGGTCTGCTGGGGGGGGGGTGGGGCGCTAGCTCCGTGTCTCCCTGGTCTGCTGGGAGGAAGTGCCCCCCACGCCGCCAGAGGTGGCGACAGTGGGGGAGGCACCCCGCACTAGCGGGGACCCCCCTCCCCCGGTTCGTAACTAGGGGTCCGACTTAAGTCGGACTGACGTAACCCGGGGACTGCCTGTAAACCAAAAACTCAAAGTAATAGCAAATGTTTTTTAAGTATGTCAGAAGCAGGAAGCCTGCTAAACAACTAGTTGGGCCCTTGCACTATCGAGATGTTAAAGGAACACTCAAAGACAATAAGGTCATTGCAGAGAAGCTAAGTGAATGATTTGCTTCAGTCTTCATGGCTGAGGATATTTGGGAGATTCCCAAACCTGAACCATTGTTTTTAGGTGACAAATGTGAAGAATTGTCCCAGATTGAGGTGTCATCAGAGGAGGTTTTGGAACAGATTGATAAATTTAACGGTAACAAGTCACCAGGACCAGATGGCATTCACCTAAGAATTCTGAAATAACTCAAATGTGAAATTGCGGAACTGTTAACTGTGGTTTGTAACCTATCCTTTAAATCAGCTTCCGTACCCAATGAGTGGAAGATAGCTAATGTGATGCCAGTATTTAAAAAGGGCTCTAGAGGTGATCATGGCAATTACAGATTGATAAGTCTAACCTCAATACTGAGCAAATTAGTTGAAACTATAGTAAAGAATAAAATTGTCAAACATGTAGATGAACATAATTTGTTTTAAGAAAGTCAATGTGGTTTCTGTAAAGGGAAATCATGCCTTAGTAATCTACTAGAGTTCTTTGAAGGGTCAACAAACATGTAGACAAGGGGGATCCAGTGGGTACTTAGATTTCCAGAAAGCGTGTGACAGGGTCCCTCACCAAAGGCTCTTAAGTAAAGTAAGTTGTCATGGGATAAGAGTAAAGTCATTTCATGGATTGATAACTGGTTAAAAGAGTTTTCCGAGTGGAGAGAGGTAACTAGTGCCCCCCCCAAAGGATCTGTTCTAGGACCCATCCTATTCAACGTATTTATAAAAGATCTGGAGAAAGGGGTAAACAGGTGGTAAAATTTGCAGATGATACCAAACTGTTCAAGATAGTTAAGATCAAAGCAGAGTGTGAAGAGCTTCAGAAAGATCTCACCCAATCACTTAGTTTGGTAACAAAATGGCAAATGAAATTTAATGTTGATAAATGTAAAGTAATGCACATTGGGAAAAAATAATCCCAACTATGCATACAATATGATGGGAACTTATTTAGCTACAGCTACTTGAGAAAGATCATGGAGTCATTGTGGAAAAGTTCTCTGAAAATATCCACTCAGTGTGCAGCGGCAGTCGAAAAAGCAAATAGAATTTAGGAGTCATTAAAAAAGGGATAGAGAATAAGACAGAGAATATTTTATTGTCTCTATATAAAACCATGGTACGCCTACATCTTGAATACTGTATACGGATGTGGTCTTAAAAAAAGATAAATTAGCATTAGAAAAGGTTCAGAAAAGGACAACAAAAATGATTAGGGGTTTGGAACGGGGCCCATATGAAGCGGGATTAAAAAGACTTTGACATTTCAGCTTAGAAAAGAGGAGACGGGGGTGGAGGGGGATATAATAGATGTCTATAAAAGCAGGATTGGTGTGGAAAAAGTGAATAGGAAGAAGTTATTTACTTATTCCCACAATATAATAACTAGAGGTCACCGAATGAAATTAATAGGAAGCACAAAAAAACGGAAGTGTTTCTTCATTCTGTGCACAGTCAACCTGTGGAACCCCTTGCCAGAGGATATGGCGAAGACTAGGACTTTAACAGGGTTCAAAAAAGAGTTAGATTGATTCATGGAGATTAGGTCTATCGATGGCTATTAGCCAGGATGGGAAGGAATGGTGTCCCTAGCCTCTGTTTGTCTGTAAATGGGTGACAAGAGAGGGATCATGTGAAGATTACCTGTTGTTTTTCCTCCCTCTGGGGCATTTGATATTGGCCACTGTCAGAAGATTAGATACTAGGCTAGATAGACCTTTGGCCTGACCCAGTATGGCCGTTCATATGTTCTCAAGTTGTTCTTAATGGGTTTGCCACTTCTGAAATCATTAGTGTGGAAGAAATATATATTTTCTGATGACTTTGGATCTTTTATGGCCATGAAGGAATCTTAAGGAAATTATATTTCACTATTAAGTGGTTCATAGTAGTATTTTTATACTGGGTGATCAGGGAAAAAGCACAGTTGTAAAGGTTTGTGGCAGTCATAAATGTAGGCTATTTGTTGTTATTTTTTGCTTCAAATATTTCAGGTCCTTAGCCAGCTGGTTTTGTTAAAATACTGTAAACTCTTACAGTAATCTTGCCAGCTTCCATACTGCAGAAACTACACAGAATTGTTTATATAACTGACTTTGCTTCTAGCAGTTTTGCAGGAATATTTACTCCTTTTAATTTCTAGCCAGTAGAAACTCAAATGCAGTTTGTGGTGATATTTTTTTAATCTAATTTTCTCTTTGAAAAATAGGAGATTCTGGCGTCTGGGGCTTGAAAAAAAACTTTGCTTTGCTGGAGCTTTTGGAACGACTGCAGAATGGCTCTGCTGGCCAATATGGGACAACTGAGGAAGCTATTGGCCAGTCTGGAGAGGTGTAGATTCAAAAACATTTATCTTTGTTTAATTTTCATTAATCTAAAAGTAAACTCTCTCCTCTTCACAGTTTTAAAGTGAAAGATGTACCAAATTAAAAGTTCCTATGGTTGCAGAATGTGTGTATTTTAGCTATACAAATCCTAGATCTCACCCTGCAAATAAACAAATCACTGTTTAATGATTTTGCATTTGTCTCAGCATAAGGAAATACTAAAAACTTGAGTATTTGTGCAGAGGTTATGGTCCAGTACATATAGACTTAAATAGAGATAAAACCAAAATTAGCACTTAGCCTGAACACTTATGTTCATTGGAAAAGGTCATTAAACTCTTTTGGAGGATGCCATTCTTTATAAATGTCTTTTAGCTGCAGTATCTCTCTCTCTATATATAATTTTTTTTCTCTGCGAGATAACAGAATGATGTCATCACATCATCTGCATCCACAGGAGCGAAGCTCCACTCATTTCCTGCCTGATTCGCCTCTCCCCAGGGGCCACGTGAATAGCCAGAGCTGCTGCGTTGCAGCTCTGACCTTGCCCTCCCCTCCTCAGCAACCAGGGGGAGAGCTGGAGTTACTTTGGCCTGGCTGTTCTTGGCGGCTGGATGGGGGCATGGAGAGCTGGGGCCGTCACACCACAGCTTCGGTCCAGCCCTCCACAGCGGCCAGGGGAGGAGCAGGGGCTGGTGTGGCCTCGGCCTGGACTTTCCTGGTGGCTGGGGGAGGAGCCAGGGCTGGTGCTGCCTCAGCCCGACCCTCTCCAGCAGTGATAAGGAGAGCCAGGGCTGCTTTGCCTTGGGCTGGTTACCCCCAGAGAGAGGGGGTTGGCCAGCATGGAGAGCAGGGGACGTAGCCCCATAGCCGCCCCCCCCCCCAAAAAGCTGCAACACTAAAAATCTGAAAACAACTTCCTCACCCTAAAGTTCATCCTTTTATATGAATTTGGTAAATGCATTAATTAGCTGTTTTGAATGTTTCCTGGTGGATGCTTATACAACAATGTTATTGTAGTGAAATTGTTACTGAACCAATGCCATGTAATCAATCCTAGAAACAATATAAAGAGACATTGGAGTAGGGTTGGGTTCAGAGTTTCATTATTTTTGAGCATCTTCAGCGCCTGTTGAATTCAGTTTGAGTTGTGAATACTCAGTACCTTTGAAAATTAGTAACTTTTGGTTCACTCAGATGGTGAATTGTTTTAACATTTATTTTCAAAGAAGAACTTGGTGAGAGAATGCAGAATTTAAAATTACACATTTGGAATAAGATGAATGTTCATCGACACTTGTTAATTTTAAGGGGAAGTGTGACATTTTTAGTCTCGAACAAATTGAAAATATCTGTTTTGAATTTTTGGGATCTAATATTCATGCGTGATTTTTCTTTTGTTTAAAGAGCATCATTCGTTGTGATGAAGATGAAGCTCATGTTGCATCTGTATACTGCACAGTTTGTGCTACTCATTTGTGTGCAGAGTGTTCACAGCTTACCCATTCTACGAAGACACTGGCAAAACATAGGCGTGTACCTCTTGCTGAAAAACCTCATGAGAAGACCATGTGTTGCCAGCATCAGGTGCATGCCATTGAATTTGTTTGTTTAGAAGAAGGTTGTCAGACCAGTCCCCTTATGTGTTGTGTTTGCAAAGAATATGGAAAGCATCAAGGCCATAAGGTACTGTTATTTTTCTATTACGCCCATGCTGTTAGGTGGTTTAAGAAAGCAATATTTTTTTCCATTGTTAAGCTATTTGAGAAAAGGAGTTTATGCCTGATCTTTGATCCTTTTATGAAGATGACTGCTTTTTTGTTCCTTTCCTTCACTACAAGCAACTGCTGTGGTAACAGTACAACTACAAAAAATATTGTGATCTGTAAAACCACAAAATTCTTTTTCACCTGTTTAAGGCAGAAAAGATAATCATCTGTGCGAGTGACCTGTTTTGATCATTGTTAGCTGCTCATGGTGTAGAGGTTTCAGCATCACAGTCAATCTAGAGTAGACCAAATGTTTTTTTTTCTTATTCTTTCATTTTATTAAAGATGTAGTTATTTTTATGATTGCTAGATCCCTGTTTCAGTCTCATAACAAAATGAATGATACTTGATTGTTTTGATTGATCAAACATTAAATTTAGTACAAATCTTTCCATTTCCTCCTGATTGGAAGGGAAACTTAGAGCTAACATTTGGCATGTTACTTTTGATTGTAGCATTCTGTTTTGGAACCAGAAGCAAACCAGATCCGTGCATCCATTTTAGATATGGCACACTGTATAAGAACTTTCACAGAAGAAATCTCGGACTATTCCAGGAAACTAGTTAGAATTGTTCAACAAATTGAAGGAGGAGAACAAATAGTGGAAGATGGAGCTGGAATGGCCCATACAGAGCATGTAAGAAATTGTTTTTCTTAAATACAGTGTAATTTTCTCTTTAGTAACCAAATATTTTAAGCGTTACATGAGAAATATTCGGAAGAGTTCACTCATAGTCTGGTGCTGCAAGTTACTGAGCTCCCTCAGTTCTGCAAAGTCTGTAGATGTTCCAGAGTGCTTACACCTTGAAAGTCTGAGTCCAGAGAGAGAAGATGGCAAGACAACTTATATCTCATTGATTGTCTCCTTTATTTCACTGAAATTTGAGTGGTTGTGGGGAGAGCTATATACGTGAATGATTTCTGTGACAAAAAATTATGTACAGTTGGTCCCCAAGTTGTGAACGGTCGAGTTACGACTGTTGGCATTAATGACCAAAGCTCCCATGGAGCGGTTGTAAAAGCGGTCCCCGAGTTACGAACGCAACCTGTGCTTACGAACAGCGCGGTTGCTATGTAACTCAATGGGGTCAGAGTTAAGAACAGATCGAGCTACGGCCAAGTTTTTGGTCTGTAACTTGTTCGTTGGGAGAAGCTGTATACAGTATTTGAACATTTGCAAGCTCTTGAAATGTGGCTATCGAATAGCAAAGTGGGGATCCCAGGCCATTGACTGCATTGGGGTGGGAGATCACCCTGAAGCTCCCATCTCCCCTGGTACAGGGATTCAGCAGTGAGGCTGCATCTGATAAGAATGCCATACTGGGTCAGACCAAACATCCATCTAGCCCTGTCTTCTGTCAGTGGCCAATACTAGGAGCCCCAGAGGGAATGAACGGAACAGGTAATCATCAAGTAATTCATCCCCTGTAACCCATTCCCAGCTTCTGACAAACAAGAGGGTAGGGGCAACATCGCTGCCCATCCTGATTAATAGCAATTGATGAATCTATTCTTTGTCAATTTATCTAGTTCTTTTTTGAATCCTGTTATTTTCTTGGATTTTACAACATCGTCTGCCAAGGAGTTCCACAGGTTGACTGTGCATTGTGTGCAGAAATATTTCTTTATATTTGTTTTAAACCTGCTACCTACTAATTTCATTTGGTTACCCCTAGTTCTTGTGTTACCACCATCATCATCACTATCAACAAGCATGGGCTCAATGCCTGTTGGTGTCCGATGCCTCTCTCACTATTTCCTTCCATCTGTCTAGTGCGGAGTGGCTTAGTTTCTGTAGATCTGGGTGACATCTGAGCTGGCATCTTTTATCAGTTAGTCGTTCTGGCATCAGATTTCATGTGTATTGTTGTTTTACAATCAGCGCATCAACACTCATCTGATCAATCCTCCTCCTTTATGCAGGCTTGGGACTGGCATGAAACCTCTAGAGGCTTCATAGCCGAGTTTCTTGGGTTATGGGAAAGAGGAAATCATGTCCTAATTCACTTTCTCCAAACCAATCGTAATTTTATTGAACTCTATCCTATCTCCCCTTAGTCATCACTTTTCCAAGATAAAAAGTGCCAGTCTTGTTAATCTCTTCTCAGTTGGTAGCTGTTTCGTACTCTAATCATTTTTGTTGCCCACTTCCAAACCCAATATATCTTTGTGAGATGAGGCGACCATATGTGCATAGAGTATTCAAGATGAAGGCATACCATGGATTTATAACAAGGCAATAAGATATTTTCTGTCTTATTATATATCCCTTTCTTAATGATTCACAGCATTGTTTGTTTGCTTTCTTGACTGCTGTTACAAATGAGTGAATATTTTCAGAGACCTATCCACAGTGGTTCCAAGATCTCACTTGAGTAGCAATAGCTAATTTTGATCCCATCATTTTATACGAGCAGTTGGGATGATATTTTGCAATGTGCATTACTTTGCATTTATTAACATTAAATTTAATCTGTCATTCTGTTGCCCAATTACACTGTCAGGATCTCAGAAAACTGTGTAAGGGCTGGGCCAGCCCCAGAAACATGCTGGATCTCTGCCCCTCCGTGCCAGGTGCACCAGGTGTGGGTGGACTGGCTGAGCCAAACAGGATCCCGCTGTGGAAAGAGTCATTGGGTATGTCTAAACTACATGGCTCCATCGACGGAGCCATGTAGTTTAGACACACCCATGTGTCAGTTATAGAGTCAGCAGAGCCTAGATGCCTTCTTCAGCTGGGCAGGTCTACTTTTGTAGAAATGAGGGAGGACCAATTGCACAAAACCCACAGTATCAACCTTTGTTGGCAGATCCTGTAAGTCTCGTTTCATGAGGCATTTCCCTTTGCCGAGTAAACTAATCTACATGGCTCCATCGACGGAGCCATGTAGTTTAGACACACCCATGTGTCAGTTATAGAGTCAGCAGAGCCTAGATGCCTTCTTCAGCTGGGCAGGTCTACTTTTGTAGAAATGAGGGAGGCACACTCACCCCACCCCACCCCACCCCACCCCACTGCCTCATTTCTCCTTCCCTCTTGTATGTCTTCCCTTTGCTTCCATCCTGTTTTCTGGTTTGGGAGTATGCGGGAGGGGGGGAGCTGTTTTCTGCAGTTTCACAGTCATACAAAATCTCCCCAGAACATTTTATGCCATTGAAATACTATGGCAAATAGTTTGTCCATATGTTCATGTCTCCTGTTGTATTGTTTTCAAGTTATTACTCCCTGATAGTATTTATTTTCATACACTGTAATAAATAAATGTTTATTGGAATAAACTGTGAAAGCTCCTTTGTGCTGGGAGCAGATCTACAACTAGGGTTGCCAGATAGTTGTCTGAAACAAAAATACCGAACACCCCCCACCACCCCAAAAAAAACCACTGGGAAAACATTTTGTTCAAGGGGGGGGACCAAAGTTTTTGAGCAAAAAAAAACCTCCAGGAACCTGGATCATTGCTAGGGGTTACCAGGTTGTCATTTAAAAAAACCCAAAAGACCGGACACACTTCATGTGGGGGACAAGGGAGGGGAGCACTAGCCAGGAAGGGAGTGGTGCTGGCCGGGAAGT